GATCGGCTTGGGGTAGAATGCAGAACCAAAAGTCCTTGACATACCTGAGCACGTTCGTCTCATTAGTTAAGTGTAAGTAAAGGTGGGATCTATCTTGAGCAGACTATACTCATGTCAGTGGCGGATTTAGGAGAAGGTTGAAGAGCGATCGTCCTCTTCCAAAAGATGTTTCTCGGTTTTTCTTAGCAGAAAAGGCTTAAAATTGAGATGATATTAACTCTGATGAGCTTCAAAACACGTTTTATGATCATGATTGCTTCCCATCATAATAGTCCTAGATCCGCCTCTGAGTCATTTGTAACTTGTCACGCAAAATGCCATGTACGGTACCAGATGAAATATTTAGAGTGTCCGTTATTTGCTCACTGGTGATTCGATGATTTTCGATGACTAGACTTTCAACAGTTCTAACAATTGTTTCGTTCGTTGTAGTAATTAGTCGGTCTACACAAGATCTTCACTGATGTTTAGTTGTACATCTTTGAAGTAGCAGGTCGGTTCAAAAACCTTGACACGTAATAGAGCCTTGTTACCATACGCTCATAAATTTTGGATGTTGACTAACCTTCCAAAACAAGAAACTTTGTTACTGAACGATGTTCAAGTTTTTGATTGTACATCAGCCTTTCTAAGTAGATCTGGAAATTTTTTATTAGAGTACATATACACATTTAATCAGTCAATTTGTGCTTTTTTGTTGTTTTTAAATAAAACTAGTCTCGGAACTTTTTGAACGACCTTCGTAAAACAGTGTGTATATCAGAAACAAAATATGTTCTGTAGCTTTTGCTTGTTACATTTGTTAATGGAAACACTCATTGTATGCTTATCAAAATTATTATTATTGCAAATCATTGTTCATTCAACACTGATACCTAGCGTCATCTATGTATTTGATATCGTATAAAATTCCTTCTATCTTTAAAGAAAATCCTTTAAATAATGGTAATAATAGTAAGCAAATAATTTAAAAATATTTTTTCATATCGATTTTCAATAATTCTAACATTAGAAATCAGGCAAAATTGATCTCCAATGGATGAATTTTATTTGATTCAAGTTGTCGAAATGCATCCATATTATTTATTTATTTTTTTCATCATCATTCATTCTTTCGATAAATTTTATCAATTCAAATAAAATTGATTGACCACAAACTACTAACAGTCATGATGGTAATGCTTTAATAGTTATGCATTATTTCATAGGGCAAATTTATAATAGTATTAATCGAAACTGCTGGATTATTACCTGCAGAACAATCAATATGAATTAATGATGAAATTATAAATACTTTCAGAAAGAGTAACACTTGTTCATTGTTAGTTTTGTTTAATTGATGAAATTGAACTATCAATATTCTTCGTAGATTGTATGTATTAACTGAAAGAAAATGTGCATTCTTACTTTTTTGTTTTCTTCTAGTATGGGAAATCATAGATTAATCGTTTTAAAATATTTTGAGTCTTGTGTACTTTTTTTGTTATAGGTTAAATATGAACTTACAAACCGTTCATCATCATTTAATGACTCTGTTTCTCTTGTTACAAATTAAGAAAGAGCATTGTATCATTCTCTAATCACCACATATCCTTTCAATCAACCATTTTGAAAAAAGTAACATCATATACATATAATTCATAAAAATGATGAATTTAAAAAAAAAAAAACTTTTAATAATAAAATGGTTTTCTAATGATTACACATACTCGAAGAATTTTTTCTTAAACAAATGTTTTATTATCATTTTTTTCTAGATTATAAACATCTTGTTTTTTGTTTGATTTTAATAATCATGACTGGACGAAAAGAAAATAAAACAACAGTAGCTACGACAAGTCCAACTAAAACTGGCACAACCACTGGCCGAGTAATAAAAAAAGACAAAGCAAAAAATCTTATGCGTGATTTACGTATTCGTAAATTATGTTTAAATATTTGTGTTGGTGAATCTGGTGATCGTTTAACACGTGCATCAAAAGTTCTTGAACAATTAACTGGTCAAACACCTGTATTTTCAAAAGCACGTTATACAGTTCGATCATTTGGTATTCGTCGTAATGAAAAAATTGGTGTTTTCTGTACTGTACGTGGTGAAAAAGCTAAAGAAATATTAGAAAAAGGTCTTAAAGTTAAAGAATATGAATTACATAAAGGCAATTTTAGTGAAATGGGTAATTTTGGTTTTGGTATTCAAGAACATATCGATTTAGGCAAGTATGATTATGTTCTCTATAATTGTATAACAGCGAAAAACAACCTCGGCCGGTCTTCAGTAATGAATGCCATATGATAGATAAATCTACTATTTATTCTATTGTTTTTGATATTATTAAGTCAAATTTACAAATGGCTTTTTGAAAATAGTCTAAGTTTTGACTGCAAAAACGTATATTAAATTTTAAAAGAAAAACTTTAGTTTTAATTGAAAATAGTCCTTTCCGAACTGAATTATAGTTTTGTATTTGTTTACACTTGAGACTTTAAATCTAGAATGCAGTCTGAAATTGTATGAATCTGCTAGGTTGACATCAAATCTCTAGTATTGATGAAAATATGCGACGAGTGAAAACGAAAACTATAAATAGATCTAATAGTACATCTAACTTATTTGTCATGAACATTAATGTATACTTCTTCTATAGTGAAATTTGTGCACGGACATATTTCGAAGACTTAAATTCGACTCTAAAATAGATTGAACACATTGTCTCATTAGATTCCAATAAAAAAAAACATATTTTGATAATATTTTATAGGTATTAAATATGATCCATCAATTGGTATCTATGGTATGGACTTTTATGTTGTACTTGGTCGAGCTGGTTATGATATTGGTAAACGTAAACATAAAAAAGCACGTATAGGTGCATCACACAGAATATCCAAAGATGAAGCTATTAAATGGTTTCAACAAACATATGATGGTGTTATTTTACCTGGTATAAAGATTTAAAATAAAAATTTTTTATATTTATTCTAATTTTTTTTTTAAATTTAGGTGGTAAACCGAAGAAATCAGGTGGTCATCACAAACGTGGCAAGAAGAAATAAAAAAAAGCACTGTTTTTTTTTTGCTTATTGTTTATCGATTTGAGACAACACAAAGAAAACAGCTAATATGTCGATAAAAAAAATAAAAAATAACAGAACATCTTAAATAACAAGAAGAAAACAAAAATATTCCGAATTTTTTTAGATATGATCTTGCAGTATTGATCTGTATAATGAGTGGATTTCGAAACCAAAGATGGGATCCATGGTTGATCATTAGTCAGATTATTGCTGTTCAAACATTATATTATCTCGGATTGGGTTTTTTAATATTTTTCATCACATTTGCGATTAATCAAGTACCAACACTTGATTATATTTTCTCGTATGATGTAAGATAAAAAAAAAGAAGAAAAATAATAAAAATTTTTTCTAATCTTTATTTAATTTCCTTAAGACATTACAACTATCTAGTTGGAATGGACGATTCTTTTGTACTGTATTTTTACTTAATGCATTAACAGGGTAACAAAACAAAAACAATAGAATATTAAACTATGATTTATGGTTGTTATTTTTCTTTTTATATTTTAGAGCTCTTGCTATTTTTTATTTTGTTGGCAGATATAAACAATGTTTGGATTTTTCTATAACAATTCATTTTTATCATTTTATTGCTTGTTGCATTTATAACTATCATTATCCGAATATATTTTCTTGGTATGTTATACAATTTTTATCGATTATTATAATGACAATACTTTCTGAACGTTTTTCAAAAAAATATGAACTTCAAAATATACCCCTTACATCACGTGCTGATCTTTAGAATTTTGTTTATGTACATCTATGTGTATTATCTTAATAACAAAAGAATTGTTTTCATTTAATTTATGTCTTTGTGTGTGCAAGTGTGTTTTGTTTTTTCTTTCTTAAAAAAATCTATTTGTATATTTCTTGTATGTCGAGTGATTTGTATGATTGAAAACAACATTTATATTAGACCTTGACAGATTAATGTCGAATAACGAAAGCTGAAAATAGTCATACAAAAATTCTTTTGTTTTGTTTTTATTCGTTCGAGTATCTTGAAATAAAAAACAAAAGCCTAGTTCGCTTGTGAATAAGTCTGTATATTAACTGTTTTTCATTTGAAGTTCTTCATTTCTGATGTTTTAAGATCTGTGCGAAACAAAAAAATTCGAGTTTCAATCTGATCATAGACATTCTTCTAAGAACGAAATTCCATTATATAAAAAATGATTATTTATATCATATTAAGTTTTATGATAAAGAAAAAAAAAAACATAACTATTTTTTATTTCATGGATTTAGAATAAAAGTTGTTTCTTAAAAATAAGAATTCAGTCAACTAGTAAAACAATCCTTTTTGAGAAGAAAAATATTCGGGATTGAATCATATATAAGTTAAAAAAAACTGTTGATATAATTATCCAAATAGAATTCATAAATTTGATTACAAATTGGTAAGCCCGTGTGGCTCAGTGGCTAGAGCACTGGTCTAGTAAACCAGGGGTCGACAGTTCAATTCTGTCCTCGGGCATAGAAAATTTAATTTTTTTTTTACAATACGTAACAGCTGTCGTTGTTAATGATCTCGACTGCTTGAGATTTTATAAAAATAAAACATACTGCTTGACTAATTGATATAACAGAAGTATTAACCTTAAACGAAGATCAAGACGTATTTTTCGTCTATGAGATATTGTTTAATTATTTAAATATTAATGTTGATATATTGTAACAGATGATGTAGGAAACAAAAATATGATTCGTGCAAGAAAGAACAAATAAGTTGCTATTGAAAACATTTAAATATTTTCTGCGCCATTTGTTCGTTCCTGATGTTACATTAGGGTTACACAGCAACAGTTTTTCAACATAACCAATTTATTCTTCGGGTTAATTTCTATTTAAAGAACAAGTTTAATATTTGATTATTAATTATGATAAATATTATTATAAATTTGGAATAGTTTTAGATAATGTCATCAGTATTATTACGTGACTTTTTATATCAATTATCTATTTGTTCAGAAAAAGCAGCATGTATTGCACGTCATATTCGTTTTATGCATGCTGATTTCAATAGTATGATTGAAGAAAAACAATGTAATACTGATTAAATCTTTGTTGTTTTTTCATTTTTATCTTAAGCTATTTATTTAGTGGATGAAAATCATCAACATCTTGATGCTGATTATAAAACTTTAGCGTAAATTAAATTCTTCTAAATTTATTTTTTTCATAAATGTTTTATTTTTCTCTTAAGTGATGTTATTATTCAAGAAGTCATTAAACGAGATTTACGAAGAATTGTAAATTGTTTTTTCTTTTATTGTTGATATTTAATAATAATAAATACTATTTGATCTAAATTAATTTAGTATCCAGCATTAACTAATCATATATATGGAGAAGAAGATGGTTCATTAAAATTAAATTCAAGTGATGAAAAAATTTTCATTGATGTTACCGGTACTCAAGAAGATATTCATAATCTTCTTAGTAAGAAAAAAATATACTTTTTTTTCTAATTTTTGATTATGTTTTTTTTTTCTCAATAGAAAAATTATTTAATAATAAATCTGCAGAATCAACTGAAACTTTAGCTGAAATAGTTTCATCGTCTTCCAATATAACACTTTCCAACCAATGTAAACAATCATTTGAAAAAATTCCGCATGATATATTTATTGATTTATCAAATATTGGTATATGGATTGATCCAGTTGATGGAACACAACAGTATATAAATGGTACTGATGGATTTGTTGATTCGAATACTGGTATTATTCAAGATGGTCTTCCAGCAGCTTTAGTACTTATTGGATGTTTTGATCTTAAGGATGGTCGTGCTGTGCTTGGCGTGATTAATCGAGCTTTTAATGAAAAAATCGATGAATATAGGTAAGTAAGAGAATATAAATAATAGTTAATTATTATTATTTCATCTGTATTCAGATGGAAAGGTTTGATTTATTGGGGTACAGTATTATCAAATGCAAAATTTAATAATTTGGAAGATGTTTATAAACGACATGAGAATAATAATCAACGAGTATTATTACATGGAAGTGCTGATGTAAACACATTTGATAATATTTTAAATGATTGGACAAAAATGGAAGTATCAGCATGTGGTAAGAATATTTTCTGATTAGTTTTTTCAATATATTCTGAAATCTTCTTTTTTAGTTATAGACAAAAGTTTTTAAGAAAAGAAAAAGTTAATAATACTTCGATCTCATAGATAATCTTTAATTATTGGTAAATCCTTCTGATTTGAGATAAAAATAGTTGTATCGTGTTTTAAACAGAAATTGTATTGGAAGTTTTCTTTGTGGAACAGTTTAAGCCATTCAGACTTCGATCGTTTCAACATTTAATTATATCCTACGGGATTTTACCAGACGCAATAGTTGGATAGCGATGTTATTTTCTGCAAGAATCGAACCGATTCTTATACAAGGAATCCGATATAGCTTTCATTCACTGTATGATAACAGACATAAGTTTAGAGTAGTTGTATTTTTGAGTTTTCTTCTCGATAGTAATAACTTGAAAGAATCTGATAAAACATTTAAATAGCTGAAAGAAGTCTTTATCAGGGTTAGTGGATCTAAACACTTCAATAAAACTGCTTGGGTGAGGATGTCTAGAAAACCACGATCCCAAAATCGGTTTTCTAGCATCCATTAGAAGCTTTGTGGAAATGATTTTGTTTGACAGAGCAAAATGAGATGTCTCGATTCTCTCTACGATGTTTCTTCATCGAACTGCATTCAATTTGTAGAAGGCTCCGAAGCGTCAAATATGATGAAGTCATTGAAATTTTTCATAAATACAAAAGAAAAATGCTTCTTGAGTCTTCTGTAAATTTAATACAGTTCGATAAAAGAAAGTCATGAAGAGAGCTGAGACATTTTATTTTGTTCTATCAGATAAAACCATTTCCAAAAATCTTCAAATAGATGCCAGAAGACTGATTTTGGGAATCTTGGTTTTTCCCATATCTTAATTCAAGCAACTTTATTGGAATTTTTATGTTCACCAATAAAGAATCCTTCCAGTTACACGAATGTTTTTTCAGATTCTTCTCAGCTATTATCATCGAGAAGAAAATTCAAAAATACAACTGCTCTAAACTTTTGTTTCGAAGTATATTCTGATAGGATCTGACGAGAGAAGTTCTCCAGCTGTTCATTTGCTTTTGAGTCGAGACTATGTGCATAATGTAGATTCAAATGAGCTATAAATATCCTGATAAGAGTTCATATCCATAGCTTATTGCAACGGAGATACTGCACTTTTACAGTATTTTTAATATAAATACCATCGTAACAGAAAAATTGATTTTCGACTCTTGACTTGAAACTTTGCATAGAGACAGACCTTAACGAGAGTAGTTTCAGATCTTTTGATTTATTTCTATCCTGAAATAAGAACATCAAATTTGCTGATTTATATAAGTGATGTAAAAGAAACACTATTACCATATTTGTATCTTCGGATAGAAACAGCGACAAGACCTGAAACATTCTCATTGAGGCCTGTCTCTATAGATAGCTTCAGGTCGAAATTCGAAAATCAGTTTTTCTGGATCACGACATTTAAAAAATACTGTAAAAGTACAATATCTCTGTAGCAATAAAACTAAAGACATGGACTTTTTTAAGGTATTCATAGCTCATTTGGATCTTCATAATGCACATAGTTTCGCCTCAAAAGTGATTGAACAGTTGTAGGACTTTCCTCGTGAGTGTAACATTGTTCAATCTTATCTTCTAACAGTATCTGATACGAATAAATGTTTTTTTTCGAATGTCACTCAATTGTAACGCAATTCGATTTCTAACCGAGTGACTAGTGCTTGTCTCTAATTTTTCAATTATCTAACTTTTTATTCAGTCAGAAATTAACTTTTCTAACAAATATACGTATGATCTGGAATAGGAAAAGATGAGTAATTAAAGTATAAAAGATAAAATTTGTATCATCATGAATTTCTATGACATTAATCTTGTTTTATTTTTAAGGTAATAAATTACTATCCATTGCATTGAAACAAGCAAATATATATTTAGTAACAAAATCTGCTGCCTATAATTGGGATTTATGTGCTGCTCATGCAATTATACAATCTATAAATGGTCAAATACTTGATTTACGTCAAGTTATTAATTATTATCAAGAAAATCGAACAAAACAAAATCTAAATTTATCTCAATTTGAAATTATTTATAATAATATAAAACCAAATAAATTTCAACCAAAAGATTATGCATGTAAACCATTTATTGCTTATCATAATCAACAAGATCTAATTGATATGCTCTCATTATTAATAGTCGATAATATTCTCATTGAGTAAAAAGCATGTTTTTTTTTTAATATTAATGCATTTAGTTTTATGTCTAATCTTATTTTAATATTAAATATCACTTTTATGTTCAGTAATATAGTCGAATATTTTAGATATTCTTGATTTACAAATATCATTATATGAAAATCAATTGAAAACTACAGCTAAAGATTGATATACTTGGTTAGATGAAACATTAAACAATATGAATTCATTTCATCATTTTTATATGCAACTTATAAAAATTCAAGAGTAGTGAATAACTATTTTTATATAATTAATTTTTTTTAAAATTTCTTGTTTTTATTTTAGTGTTTAACAATTTATTATACAAGACATATACTTAATGGTGCTAATTTACTATTGAATAGTAATAAATATTTTCCAAGCCGGTAATTAGAATTAATCGATTACGATAGAAACCATTGTGTATTCTTCTAGAAGAGAATCTAAGAAATTTTATCAGCATAAATAAAATATATAGAACATGCTATTTATTCTTAAGTAATATGTCATTAAACTAACGGATGGATCATAATAAATTGGATTAATTTGTAAATACAATTTTTCAATCATTGACTATTCATATAAAATATTCATGTATACAATTATCAAAAAACGAAAAATTTCAAGCTCTACACAACTGTGTAGTTCACTTTTACGAAGAATTTTTTTTTTATTTTCGAAGCAACCAGCACACTGTATATCCTAACTGTGAAGCTAAAAACAAATGAAAAAAAAGTGTGACATCGTTACCGAGAAATTCACTAGATTTCTAAAAAAAAACGAATATAAATCGTCTATCTTTTAAAACTTAAAAACGACAGCTTCATGTAAACATTCAGAACACAATCAACTTTAACTTCCATGTTGGCGAAAACATGTCACACTGCAGTTTACCAGTTACGTAGTCTTTTTCAGAACGTAGTTCTGCATTTTTTTGATGTCCACATACGGGCTTTGCAACTGAGCTTAACTCAAAAAAAAACTTCACAGTTTAAAAAATTATCATGAAGTATATTTTCAACTTCCCAGTAAAGCTTGGATATATGAAAGTGGATCAGCCGAATAGAAGGCAAAATTCTCTATCACGACCAACGATTTTTTGCAGTAGGAATATATAGAATATATAAATGTTTGTATTGTCGTGCAAAGGCAAAAATATTCTTTTTAAAAATGAAGTTCTTAGTTTTGTAAAGCTTGAAATCCTCTCTTTTTTGGTATATGAATTTAAATACGAGGGAAAACTGCATTTACATTTAATCCTATTTATTATGACCTACATGTTAATTCCCATTTATAAAGATTACGTGACAAAATATCGAAAGTCAAAATGCCGAAAAATTTCTAATCTGTACTAAAGCAAAAATATGAGAGTATCGATAGATTTGAATCTAGATGCGAGTGTATAGATGTGGCTGCAGAAGAGACTGTCGTTTTTCTCCTCTCACACCCTTTTATTATTCTTGCTCGAGCTCGTCAGGCCCAAAGTTTTCGGACCCGACCGAATTCAGGACTAGCTCGACGGGCTCTAATTCTTACACTCAACAACAATAAAAAAATCTATATTTCCTTCCATTTAACAGAGTGACCTGATAGAAAATACAGTACTGGACAATTTTCAAGTCTCATTCAATATCAAACATTGTCACTTTCAATGTTTTGAAACTTTACCTTTATAAACTTTTGACTCATATGTACAGTACATCTTAACGTTATTTTAAACAATGAATATAATCTTACTTCAAAAACACCAGTTCATAGGTGTATAATTTTATATTCTTTTATGTAATGTTGTTGTCAAATAAAATAGTATTTCAAACTTTTTTTTCTTAATATCGTCTCCATATGTTTAGAAACAATTCTCTTTTTTTTCAGAACTTCTTCAAATGTTATTCTTTCGCGTCATTTGAAGACAATGTTTCCTTTTTATTACCGTAGAGATCAGAATGAACGAGATTCTATCAAATACTAAATTCATCACTTGTAGTTTTACATCTATCTTTTCAAAAGAAAAAATTTTTGGACGAAATACTTAAATTCAATTTTCTTTCGTATACAAACCTTCAATCAAATATATCTCAATAGCCAAATGAGATAGTGTATATCGCCGAATTTATCGTATTTATTATCATCGTTGTACTCTCTATAATAAATGTGAAGAACGTACACATGTCTGTGATTATGTTTTATCGTATTTGCTTAACGTTATAATCTCATTTCAAAAAACAAAAAGATAATTTAATCATTTTTATAATAAACAATTTTAATCATGATGTTACAACTATTATAAAACAATAGACATTTTTAACCAAAACCAATTCATCTCAATCAAAAAAACAAACTTCGTAGTAGTCTACAATCATCATTATCAATTGAAGGTCATACTTAATACTCATTCTCAAACAGCATGCCATTTTAATTCTCTATATTGATGATATGCATTTTTTTTATTTCCATATTTTTTATAAAACTTATTTTATAAGACTCTATAGTAATAGTATTTGCTCAAGAACAAAAAAAAATAAAAACGATAAAGCACTAAACCGATTGATATATACTTGTAATATACAGGAAAAAAAAACGAATGAGAGAGAAAAAAATTGGCCAGCATTAGTGTGCAAATATAAAAGACAAAAAAGAAAAAGTTAACCAGCTGTTCGCAATATTTGAAAATAATCTCACACTTATTGTGATAAACATTTTTCTAATGCATGTGATTCTAACGTGGCTTTATCAAGTAAATTTTCATTAATATACATTACATTCATTAAATCAAAAATTATTTCAAACTTTAAATAATGATGAATTAATATTATCACTATGAATACTATTAGAATTTATTTGATCAGGTACGAAAACATATTGATACTTATTGAGTCGAATTATTTGTTAAACGACAAAATATTCAATGCATAACACGAATATTTTCGCCGAAAATTTCAATCCACTTCTGAACGATCTTTTTTTGTATTTATCAGCAGGTATCGAATTGAGTTTGTTAGTTATTGTCTTCGTCAAATTTGCTTCATTCGGATAGGTATTAAGTCTATATTTCAGATAGCTGAACAATTAGAAGTCTGAAGGAGTAAGGTTAGATGAATATGAGCCATAGCTTTAATTTTTTTCTTCTTGAAAATAATTGATCATAACATATTTCACATAGGGCCTTGCATTGTCATGATGAAGTTTGATATCATTTGTTCCTGGTGACGGATTGTTTTTAATGACTTTTTGAACAATCCGTTTAAACACTTTTTACAATAATAGATACCATCAATGGATACTCCATAAGGCATTTGACGAATATGCAACAGTTCGATAGTCCTAAAGAAAATGATAAATATTGTTTTCTTTTCATAGAGTTACCATCTGATGACAGTCGGAGAACTTTCTTCTTCTGCTACCCATGCTTTTGATCGTTATTTTGAACTATCATCTTCCGATGGTAGTTCCAAGCTTCATCATCAGTAATAATACCACATAATCGCTATGAATCACTTTCGAACTTTTCTAAATTCTCGGTATAAATGTTCACGGGTCGTTGTCAGTTTATGATGTACCCATCTTGATGATACCTACCTTAGTTGTAGGTTAGGATGGCATACACACTGTCGTGAGATGTATCCAAGATGTCGGATAGTAAAGTATTTTATTTTTCGTATTTTTTCATTTCTTATCCAAAAAAGAGACATTTTTTTAATTTATTATTTTATACCTAATTCAATTGGATTTGTTGTTTTATTTGTACAGGATGCAACACAAAAAAATCCAAATCTAGAATTAATAGCTTGTAAACGATCTTCTTCATTAAATGCATCCAAGTACTAAAAAAGAATAAAATTCAAAATTTTTGTTTTTTGCTATAGTTCGTTTTAATTTACAAACATGTATTCATCTAACCATTACCAAAACTAACGATTTCATTTCTTTCTGGAAAATGTATTATTAATGTTTATTCAGGATTACATGGCTATGTTGAACAAATTGATTAATCAGTCGATAATGGTACATCAACTAAATGAAGATATTTAACAATTGTTGAACTATCTGATTGTTGTAATTCATTAGATACAAGTGAATTCATATATGTTATAATTAGAGGTATGCAGGACCAAGTTTTTTTTTGGTTTTGGTCTCAGTGATTTTAGTTTTTTGGGTCTTAGTAAACTTTCAAGTTTTGGTCTTGCACATCTCTAATCATAATACATATTAAAACATCAACATATAGTGAATCAGTTATTTCAATAGCAACTTTTGAATATGATTCTATCATATATAGGAAAACAAAAAGTGTACGATCATGTATACAATCAGAAATATGTTTTTCAAGAATTTCTATTATTTCATCTGTATCCATCCAATTTCCTAATGTTGTTTGTTAAAGATTTTTGGGTAAATTTGAATCTATAACAGTAGGAAAACTACTATCCGTTCCAAAATACAATATCATCCGTTGCTTTTTTTGAATAACTTTTGATAGGAACAAGATAGAGAACTGCAGTTTTCATCATTCGAAAGAGAAAACTGTGGCGCATATATATATGCTGAAATATGATTTATTAGCAATGGAATAATCAGATTCATTTTTAGTAGACATTTTAAAAACGATATTCTGGATTTATTTCTCAGTTGACCTCGGTTGGTTGTTAATTTGATCGTTCTATAGAAAAAATTGTTCTCTTTCAATCTACGCAAGGCTAATATTCTTAGCTTGTTCTATTCAAGAGTTATTTGGCTTTTTCCGAGACCACCGATTTCAACCAGTTGACTTGGAATCATTCGGAAAAGCATCTATACATGTATAATTCACTATACTAAGTCGAATATTAATATTGGTTTTTAGGTTCCAACTGATTTGACACTGTTACCTCTATATTTCTAAAATATCGATTCTTTGCACTAGATAGAGGCAGATTATGACACTTCGGAAGTATTGAGATAACAATGTCAAACCAGTTGAAAACTAAAAACCAATATCATCATTCGCCTCAGCACGATGAATTATCCTTACATAGATGCTTTTTCGAGTGATCCTAGGTCGGTTGGCTGAAATCAGAGGTCTCAGAGAAAGCCAAATATCTCTTGAACGATACAAGCTTGAAATGTCAGTCTTGTGTAGATTGAAAGAGAATATTTTTTCGGATAGAACGGTCGTATTAACAATCAAATTCAATTTGAGAAATGAATCTAGAATATCATCTATAAGATGTCCACTAAGAATGAATTTAATTGGTCCATTGCTAATCAATCATGCTTCAACACGTATCTATGTATCGGATAATAATAAAAAGTCGAAAATCAAAACAAACACACTGAAAAAGTATGATTGACTATCTATTATTCAAATCGATAATAACCAATCATATTGATTCGGCTTGTTTTGCTTTTCGTTTTCATTTTTGCCCTTTCATAATCATCCATATGCGTCATTGTTTTCTCTTTCGAATAACGAAAACCGTACTCTTCTATCTCTTTCCGATCACAAGTTATTCAAAAAGCGACTCATGGTCTATTGGACACAAACTACATCACGAGGATCATCGATAGCAATATATGTAAGATATGAAATAAAATTTCTTTGTTATATTTTAAATCGATATAAAAATCTTACCAATAATTGTATTTTCTTAGACTTCAAACAATGACATAAGTAATTTTTTTTCTTATACATATTAATGAGTTTTCAATGGTAAAAATCTATCAAGTGAATTATTTGCATGAGCAAAAAAATTCATGTTAAGAAATTATCTATGAAAATACACTATATAAAAGATAATATTAATATTTTATTTTTTCTTTATTTTAGATTATTTGTAGATTTTCGAATTTTTTCTCTTTCATAGGTTTTTAAATCTTAAGAATTTAATTATGCCACCACCACCATCAGCAGTACTTAAGAAAAAAACGACGTCGAAAAATCCACCATTTCTTAGTCAAGAATTTCTTATTCAAAATCATGGTAAGTATCAACGAGGGGGAAAGACATACTTCTGTACTTCTTTTATACTTCTACATATGTGTGCGTGCTCCTATATAGTTTTATATATTTCTTTTGCTCTAGAGATAATAATTGAATATTGATCAATTTCAGTTCAGAAGCTTAGATCAAATGAGCTAATAAACCTTTGAAAGAAAGTGATCTTGATGATCAGTTTTTTTTTATAGAACTTGATCTTTGGAAACAGTTTTTGAAACTGAACTGTTTGAAAAAATAAAAATTTTTCGAACAGCTCGTTTTCACGAACTATTTTCAGACATCAGCTTTCTTCACAAGACAACTACCCGAATTGATGCGGGCCATTTGAACTCATATTGAATCCATGGTGAGATCTTAGTAAGACTAAAATAAATCCTGAAAGGATTCATGTCCATGGACTTCTGGAAGCAAGTTATGATCGTTTTACTTAATTTTTGATCCAGCTTTAGGTATTTATCGAAAAATCAAATAATAGAATTTCTATCTAAAATTTCGCCTATAAACAGATCGAATGAATAGTAGAATATGCTGAAAGTTTTCGCTGAAAAGAATGTTTCTTTGTCGAGATATTGAATTTCCAAAAAAATGATCGTTTGTGTCACAAAAATCGAATTTACTTGAAAACTCAATATCTCGACAAAAGAATATTCTTTTCAGCGGAAACTTTCAGCATATTCTACTAGTCATTCGACTTGTTTATATGCGAAATTTCAGATCGAAAATTCAGTAAAACAGTCATAACTCAGCTTCAAAGGTCTATGAGCACGAACTCTTTTAGAATTTTTCCAGTCTTATCAAAATCTCCTTGTGAACTTAATATGAGCTCAAATAGCAGATATCATTCCGAGTAGTTCTCTCATTAGAGAAACCATATAGACAGTTCAGTTCCTATCAGAGAACAGAATCATTATCGAATTGTCACTCCATCTGATAATAAAAGTCATATAATCAATCTTTATTTAAAACATGTATCGTTTTCATGAACGTGTTGTTACTTCTCAATACTTCAAAAGTGCAAAATTATATCTATTTCTTCATTAATAAATATTCCTGAAGAAGAAATATTGAATTTTAAGTAAAATTATTCTATATTATTAAGGTGACATTGCATCTTCTATTATAATGATTCTAACTCTTGGTGCTGTATTTCATGTTACATCACCTTATTTTACGGTATTTTTTGGTCCTCGCCATAATGCTACAAATTTTATATCATATAGTACAGTACCAGCTACACTTTTTAATTATGGTTATAAAGATTTAGCTATGCTTTTTGCTTATACTCTTGTATGTATAACAGTTCATGCTATTTGGCAAGAATATGTATTAGATAAATTAAATAAAAAATTACATTTATCAAAATCTAAAAATGCAAAATTTTTTGAATCTGGTCAACTTATTCTATTCTATGTTATAAGTGTTCTATGGGCATTAAAATTATTTCAGGATGAATCTTATTTTCAATCGGGTATAGAATATCTTTGGCGTGATTATCCTTATATAGGTATGACAATATGGACACAACTTTTTTTTATTATACAAATTTCTTATTGGTTACATAATTATCCTGAATTATATATACAAAAAGTTCGAAAAGAAGATATACCATCTCGTATTTTTTATACAAGTTTACATTTAATAACAATTCTTTATGGTTATTTAACACGTTTTTGGCGTATATCATTAATTCTATTAACAATACATTATTTTATTGAAATTTTTCATCATTTATCACGTTTAGCTTATTTTTATACTACAGCTAAAATACATTCAATAAAAGCTAAATCAATTTCTAAATATTTACTTAACATATGGTATTATATATTTATAGTTGGTCGTTTAATATCAATAGTTTTAATATGGTTAACATTTTGGTTTGGTTTAAAAAGTTCATCTGTTAATAAAATATCATATACATCAACATCTCTTACAGATTCAAATGATACATCAAATGAATCAATTATGGTTTCTAATTTTAATACACCAACTGTACGTTTATTTACACTTGTTACAATGGGTGCTTTACAATTTTGGCTGGTTTGGAATTTTATTCAAGTAAAAAAAGAAAAAAGATAAATAGGAGGAATAATAAAATTGAATAATTTTAGTATTCAAACATGTTCTAACAGATGATCGAAAAGTAATTTGAAAACATTAGGTTAGAATTAGAATTTTGTATTCTTTCCGAATATGGATTCAAAAATTTTTGTAGGACTTCTCGTTTAGAAGTTTTGAGACGAACTTGTAGAGATCCATAAATTAAGTTTGGACGAACTTCAGCATGCCAAAAAATCCAAAGTACGAACGAAAATTATTTCAAATAATAAAAGAGCAGACATTTCTCTATAAAATGCTGTACTAACGATGAGTTTGCTGCGAGTCGTTTGTCAACAGTGAATATTTGGAGTAACGAACATTGTGTTAATTTCCTTGATTTTTATGGAATATAGACTTGTAATGCAAATTTTTTTGGTCTAAACTTAATGTTTATGCATCTAACAGTGCAACTCATAACTATTAAATCAGAAGTCCTAGAGAAATTTTGAATCTATATTCGGAAACAATACAAAATTCTGATTCTAACCTAATGTTCCAAATTTCTGCAGGCTCCTTAAAGAGACTGAAAAGTTAATAAATATGTTGTCAAATTACTTTTCGATCATCCGTCATCAAGAATTTATAGATAAGAAGCAGACAAAACATAATCCTAATTGAATGGTCTATCTAGCGTAAGGATCGAGGGGATGGTACCTCTGAGAACATAACGTTTGGCCTTCCGAAGGGAGAATCTGAATAAAACATTTCTAGCTGATCAATAAGAAAAGATCTATATATTTTAAAACAAGTACGCCCATGGTTTGAACAGAAAATATAATAAGAGAAAATAAAGTAGGAAAACATTTAAATGTACTCGAATGAAAGGTCTAATAATGATCTGCATTTTATCATATTAGAATGATGGGTCTAAGAAACGGAAACTAATTCATGTAAGTCTTCTTAGCATTTGATAAAGTTATGAAGATAAGACAATCGATAACAGTGTTTATACTATGTTTTCGTTAGCAATAATCTTTTGATTTTGAATAATAGAAATTTGAAATCTAGAGTTTATGGACAGTTATCGATAGGTTAATATCGTTTTGGTACACTTCTTTTTTTAAAACGAAGAATGTAGATCATGTTTTTCTAATTATTATTGTTTATAATCGAATACTTTTAAATATCATTCTTGTTTAGTTTCACATGAGACGTCGACGTGAACAAGGTGGTGCACAATCAACAGCAACAACTTTAACAAAAGTTTCAAATAAACTTAAACAAAAACAACAAGATTTAAAAACTGATAAATCAGAAACTGATGAAACAGATGAACGTCCTGCTATAGTTGCCAATGGTATTGGTAATAAAAAAAGCAATTAAATTAACAAAAAAGAATAATAAGAAAAATTTTCATCCATACAACTATACTTCTTATATTGTCTTTCGAATTCTCTCAACTACTTGTTACACTGTTCCTTTCATTATTTCTCTTTTTTTTTTTTTCGTTATCTCATTATTATTCTTATTGTTTTCTTTTAAAGTTATTATTTCCAATTGAAAAAGAAATATTGTTTTATGTTTACTTGTTTGCAGGATCTTGTTCTTTGGTGTAGAACTGTTAAAAGACCGTATAGATTCAATAAACAAAATAGCATTAAGGAATAGAAAAAAAAATACATAACCAAATTGTTGATTACAACGTCATGTCTTCATCCATTCGATCTTATTTTGCAATTGATAAAGGAATCTCATCAGGTGTCAAATCACTTTTCGATCGAGACGATGTTCATTTGATGAGTAATAGAAAAGTCTAGAATGGTTTGATTTTTCGGACCTTCGCGTTCTTGAGATATAGAAATTTTATTGAATTTTGCAATAAAAACTGTGATCCCCCTATGAACTTTCTAGTGTTGACTTCAAACTTTGAATGAACAATGTTCTCAATGAAATTAGTTCATTGGGCAAGTTGTCACTTTTCTAATATCTTCTATTATACGATATGCAATATTCAAAATTCTCTTATGTGTACAAGCAACAAAGAAAATACTAGTTGCACAATCAACTAATCTCATTAAGAATTTCAATATCTCAAGAACGAAGGCTCGAAAACCCAAATCATTCTAGACCTTTCTATTATTCATTAAATGAACGTTGTCTCGATCGAAAGCAATTTGTCACCTGTAGAGATTCCCTCATGAGCTCTAATTAAAAATAACAATTAATGTGAAAATACAAGATTCAATTCGTGAATTTCAAAAAATAGTTAAAAAGACTGTTTAAATCATGAGAAAATGATTAGAATGATTCGTTTGCAAATGTGCTCAAATGAACAACTCAATTCTACTTCATTCGAAGTTCACAGGAAATCTTCATTGAAAACACTGAAGCCCAATTTTTAATAGCTTGGTTGAGTGTTTAATGCAAGAACCAGTTTATCGGTCAAAGATAAACAGCTCTGAAATATAATGTCATTAGATATTTTCTTTCAGTATTTTTTTTGACTTCAATGGTTATATCAATATTTTTTTTATCATAAAATTATATTTTTAATGCAAATATTTGAATAGGACATTTCGTTAATGCACCTATAAATTGTATGAGCACTTGATTAAATAGCACTACCAATACCAATATTTTATTCACTTATTTATTTAGAAAAAGTATTTTTGTATTTGTAACGTATTATTAAAAACGTATCTACAGTATTCAATATTCGTCGAATAGGTAGAAATCGGAAGATTATTTTTTTTTCTTGAATCTTAATACTCATAAGACTTTCTTGCATCCTTTTATCCAATGCAGAATATTTAGAAACTTACACTAAAATAGATGAGAATAAAAAATGATTTATTCTTGTTTTATGCCAATGAGCAAAATAAAATAATAATATTTTAGGTCGACGAAAACGACGCCGTAAATAATATAAAACGATAAAAACTGACGTCTTTACCTCGTCGTTTTCTTCTACAATCTCGTAAAACGGTAAAATAGTAGGAGAAACGATAACTGATTATCAGTGAAAAAACCCAGCTGACGAATTACGACGAAATACGATGAAAATTAATACAGCAATACGCTGTTTTCAACGATGAGAACGATCGTCCTAGAATTTCTCTATTTAAATCTTGTTTTTCAACTTTGTTTTGTATTGTAATCATTAAACATGATAATTCCATCAATGTATTTTCGATGTTTGTTGGTTGTATAGAAAAGATTTTCTCGGTCATATCATTAATAAAATACAATAAATTATTGAAAAATCAAAAATAGATTATTTTATCATATCAAGGATAGCTAAACTATCTGACTGTTTCTTTCGTGCTGGTAATACAACAGAGATATCTATGATGATGACGGTATCAGCGATGTGGTAGTGACTTTTGTTTTGAAAGAATTTCTCGAAAACTATCACAGTAGTGGCAGGTCTCAAGCCGCAATGGACATCTTTGTAACACAACTACTTGATGATTTTGATCTAAGAGAAAGAGGTATTCATTCTTATAGAAAAGACAAAGCATATGTAATATAGATTGTTCAATTATAAAATTAAATGCTGCTCCTTTATTAGAGTAATTAGTAAAGATAATTGGTTTGTTTTGACCATTCATACTGTAAAAATGAATACAATTGGTAGAATGTTCATATCGATCTTTAACACTTGCAAGGCTACCAGAATATGGCCTAAAAACGAAAGCAATAAATCGTTTTTCTTTTTTATGTGATTCTATTAGATCCTTTAATATAGTCATTTATATTCCTTTTTATCCTTGAAAAACTGATAATATTTATTCACTATGAATAAGAAAACTATTTGAATTATTTGCTTCACTTGATAACTAATAATATGTAATAAACTGATTATGAATGAGGGATAATGAACTACAGAGTAATCGAAGTTAATCAAGTCTGTTTAATGATGAATACGATCTAGAGCGTAAAATATTGCAATATCAAAAAGATTTGAATAAATTTTTGAGATTATATCACCATCATGAATAATATATGTGTTATATTAATAAAAATGAATCAATATTCTAATCAGCACTATTAGTTTAATATACTTATTTTCTTTTTTTACGATGGAGATTTTTAAAAAAATGAGTAGAAATAATCAAATATATAAATCAATATATCAAATGACAGTGTCCAAACAGACAAGAACCTTTAATAACACGTTTAAACACGATTTTCAGAAATTTCTATCTCTCTTGGAATAGCTCGAGATAATAAATATCTCAATCCAGCATTCGATAGGCATTTCGATGCTCAGTTTGCGATCACACGAATGATTGTTTCCGAGGAGATCGAAATTTAATCAAAATAAGAAGAATTTTTGGGTTGCCAAAATCTATCGATTAAACGCGAAGGAGGAAATTCAAACATGGAAGGAAAAGCTTTGCTTGAATTTCAGCTGTTATGCAAAAAGAGATTATTTGATAATCAACTGATTTATGTGATAAAATATAAAATCAATACTGAAAATTTTTTTCAAAGGCTTAGAACATAAAAATTCATTATGACTGTGTCTTCTTCAAGCATGCTGACGGATTTCGGGTCTTAGCTTTCATCAGTTGATATTAAATATTGCTTAGAAAATTATGAAATTCAACTGAAATATATGCCGAACATAAATAATTCTGTTAGAATCATTGAATAAAAGTAAAAGACATCTCAAAACCGCTTTTTGAAGAAGTTTCATGTAATCAATATTAGATTCAGCAATCGAAACTGATATTGTGTTAACTTTGCCGCTATTGAAGCATTCAAAATTATTCTTCCGATGTGTCTTTTTTCTTCGAGTAGTCAAAACTTTGATAGATTTCAAGTGGTAGAAATGTGCTCAAGGAGTCAGTATGATTATTCTTTCCATAGATTATCTCTCGTCAAGTATTAGAAAGTTCGATGAGTGGCAAGGGGCCCAAAAATGAGTGCTCGGAATCTGATGCCTGTCGAAAAGCGCAAAACTTAAATAGAACAAACGAAAAAAAAAATCTATTTTTCAAATTTTCAACTGCTTGTTACGCCCATCGTATGCGTTGAAAACTTGTGAAATATCTAGAGTTGATAATTATTTGTCGAGAAAGAATAAAATATTCTTTTGCAGTTATTTTATTTAACATAAGTGCTTAAGTGATATTAAATATGTCACTTGGTTCATTCTATTATTAGTTCATCGTGTCATGTAATTTTATTAAGTGTTGGATTCTCGTTGCTATACCTGTTTTCTATTTGCATAGCATGAAACCTTGAAAAAAGTAATAAAGTTTATTTCTTTGAAGGCCATTGCCTACATCAATGATATCTGACAAAATCTGATCATAACTTTATATCGTCATGCATTTTCATTTTTTTAAATCCATTAATAATATGAAATATGATTCTTATTGACAGACGAAAAAAGTATTCGAAGTATCTTTTTTTCTTTGATTTTGTAACATATCAAACCTATACAACCAGTGGCAGATTTAGAGAGGAGGTACCAAGGGATCGATCTTTTCTTTCGACCTATTTTTCGATTCTTTTTCAGTAGAAAATGCCAAAAGATGAGCCAATACAATCTCTAATGTGACTTGAAAACACGTTTTGTGACTATAATCGTTCCCCTTTCTATTGAAGCACCTCCATTTACCAGAATCCTACATCCGCCATTGTATAGAACTCGGACTAATAACGTACAGATTCGTTTTGAATTCAGATAATTTATCGATTGTTAATAGAGACAATTGATCCATTCTAGTTTAATCGAATAATTTTAATTTACGAAAATAAATAGATGATTATTCATCAAACTTGAAATGATTCAGAACAATTTCGAAAGAATAAAGAAAACCAGAACTTACTTCGATTAGAAAAAAATTTCGAAATTCCAATATCTATAATATTTCAGCTTCCTTTTTTCGATCACATCTTCATGACGAAACAGTTACTAACGTTACTACATTACCATCTAACATGAATGTGTTGTGTGTCATTTTTATTTATTTTGGATTTATACCTCAATGAATAATATTTATTGTTGGCAAGCAAACATATAAAAAGAACTCAAAACATGCTGATGCATGGCTGAATGGCTTCGTCATCACCTTTTTTTTAAACTACAATAGAAAAGAAAACGAAAACAGTCATTGCGCCAGCTTGACTAAAAATAACAATTTGAAAAGAAAAAAAAAAGTCTCGTAGATGGATGTAGTCATATGAAAAGGGATTAATTGAAAAATATAAATATTCGGAGACACCCACGATACAACACGATACTAATAATATACAAGTAAATACTTTTAACCAATCAGATACTTTAAGCATCTTGATATTATTACATTCGTCTGTCAGGTAATAATATATATTGTTGATTTAAATATGAGTTTATTTCTTCGCACTTCAATATTACTACTATTACTACTTGAAATAATACTATCTCGACCAGCTATGCAAAGAATTATGGTTAATAATCACGTATGGGAAGTACCAAATGAACCTGGATGGGAAGAAGTTATTAGAGATGCGGCAACAATTCAAAAACAATTGCATGTATGTACAACAGCTGCTGAATGTCGTCAAGTTATTGACCAATTGCATGCTATCTTTAATTATTATCCGGTTTCTAGAAAGTATCTGGAGTCAAACCCGGATAGTGCATATGACATAATGGCATCAATATTCAAATGGGGCTAAACATACAAATGTAAATACGATCATTAGACAATCATTCTATATAAATAATTGAAATGCAGAATGTAAATTTTTTATTAAATACAATTTTGATAAATAAATATTCTTATCGTTTTTGAGATTTTGATCGTTGATATTTTTTTGATTTTGATTTTGAACGTTGTGATGCATTCGATTTAGGTTTTTTTGAAATAGATTTTGATTTAATTTTTTTCTTAGATGTTTGAATTGATTTTTCATTGATATGTTGTTTGTTGATTTTCTTGTTATCAGATGTTAATTGGTTAATATTCCATGAATATGGTGGATATGGATATCGTTCGACAATGAAATCATCTATAAAATCAGATCCATATGTTTTTTCATTAGAAATTCCTTGTTTTAAACATTGTTCGTAAGATTTTAATATATTTGATTTTATGGTTGATTTTTGTTGTTGTGTTCTAGTCTTTAATGACATAATAACATCAAACAATTAAAATCATATTAATTGAAGATAAAAATAAAAGAAGAAGGTCGAACGAATAAATTTCATATTTAAATTTTCCCGCAAATTCAAATTTTTATTATATTTTCATCAAGTTCTAAAGTTATTGACAAAAATAACGGAAGAATTTTTTTACTTCGATAATGAATTTTATGATATGTTGGATTAGTAGAATCGAGTTTCTCACTTATCTCAACAATTATAAAAAACAAATATATTAACTGATAAGACATTCATTTGCCCATCATTGACATTATAGTATCTGATTTATACATATTTATAAAAAATAGGATGAATAACACAAACTTAATTTTTGAAAAAAGTTAATAATCTCTTCATTGAAATATAGACTAGATAACGAAACAATGAATAGCCAAAAGCAATTTTTTATATATTATAAGAAAACAAAACAAATGCTCAATGCTGATTTTCTCTTATAACTTTCTTCAATGAGTTAAGTGTTATTTATGGTTACACTCTAGATGTTTTAGTTACAAAAACTAATGACGACATTTATTTATTTTTTAATCTTCTTGCACAATTTGTAGCCAAGTGAAACAAAAATATATGTAATAGTTTGCAAATCAGTCGTAGTTAAATAATATTTAAAAAAAGATTTTCTATGATACAATTGCAGGCGACCACTTCCTCGTTCAGGCGTATGCTCGCTTAGACAGATGGTCGTCGAACAGATTTTATTTTAAATTTTAAACGTATGCTGCACAATAATATTAATTCAAACAATAAACTTATTCCATTGAGTTGTCAGACCCTAAATTTTCGAACCCGGTCGAACCGTACTTTAATATTCTCAATGAAATTTTCTAATCAGAATTGGATAGTCGCCCCGAAAATGCGAAACACTTTTTTTCCAATTTTCTGTATTCGGTGACTAGCGCATTGTAAATATTTTTCAGAAGACTAGAACCCATCAGGTCCGAGACTGATTTGACAGGATCTAAGACTGATACATCTTCTGTATTTAGACATCATTGACATTATATCGAGTAGTCAACTAGCAAAGCAAAAAAAACCTCAGGCTCTCAACAAAGATCAGTTAAAGTATATCGGGTGTTTTTTTTGTCTCTGTAGATTCTCTTTTCAAATCTGTTTGTCTATTGTTGTTCAATGTTACTGTTTCTTATTGATTTTTTTAAATTTAATCTTGTAGAACAACTAAATCACATACTCGAATTGTTTTTTTTTGTTTTTTCCTTAAGAGTTTCTTCAGCAAGGATCTATCATAGGGTGGAAGTGTCCATCCTTAGATGTCAAACTTCCCGCGTTTTATCCAGTGTGATGGCTGAGGGAATGATGCCATCTGAGGATCGAATTAGTCTTCACGAAGTTGATGGTTATTGTATCATGTACTACCTGTCTATGCTCTCAAAAATAAATGTTCGCCTTTTCGGAATATCATATCGTACCTACGGAAAGGAAAATCTGGATAAAACATTGCTGATTTCCGTTTATAGTCACGTGAACGAAATTTTAATCGTGGTTGCATGTTGTCAAATTGGTTAATCCTAAAGAGAAATTGATAAAGATAATCATTCCATTTGATAAAGTTCTTCATGCTCTATATTGATTTTATTTTATAAATATATTATATCAATTTTTCATATTATTGGCAAGCATGATTACTTGAAAAATGAAAGTATGAACTTATAAATAAACGAAATTTTATTGTTTCGATTTTTAATCTTAATATTAATTGAAGAACATTTCAAAATTAAAAATTACAATTATACATTATACAAAAAAGTTGTTTCCTTTTTACTTGTTCAATATAATAAAAAAACAAAAAAATGTCATACAATAGTTATTTAATAAACAATTTAAAATAAGAATTTATTTATTTTATTTCAGCTGGTAAATGAACATTTTCTGCATATTGATTTGGAATGTTACCGGGAGGATCAAATATAACAACACCATACCACCAATTTCCATCATCAGATCGAGCTCGTCCAACACCAATTTCTTGTGATGCTCGCCAAACTAATTGTGTAAAATTTTCTGTATCTTTACGTCCATCATGACCAAACATATATCGTTTTCCTTCTTTCATCCATTTTCTAACCATTTTCTCTCCTATAAAAAAATCAAATTCAAATAATTTTCTATGATAAAAAAGAATAAGAAATATAAGACTTTGAACCTGTTAATTCAACTTGAAATGATGCTGCATAATTTTCTCCAAGTGTTTGTCGTCCTAAATTACGCCATTCAGGTGGACTATGTTCTAATTTACCAGTACTAGCCATATGTTCTGCCCAACGTTGAGCAATTTCAGATAATTGATCATTAAGTTCTAATGGTTGAGCTTCATATCGACGACGAAAACCATTTATTGCTTGAAATGTTGCTTGTGCAAATGCTTCACTACTATCTAGTAAACCAATTTCATTTGCTAAAATAAATAAATATTTACGTTCTATTTCAAAACATAGAAAATAAATACTTGAGTCAGCTGAAGTAATACGTGGTGCATATGTTCCAATAACGCCTGTTCCAGTTGTACCAGTGCCAAATGAATTATCAAGTGTATTTATATCAGTAGGACTGAAAGGTCGTTCTGAACGTTTTGTAGTGTTGGGCGCCCGTGCATGTGGTTTTGCTTTAGTCTTTCTAAATTTTTTCATAAAGAATGCAGCAATACCTTATGTAATATATAAGACATTTTTTTTCTATTTTTTCAAAATTAATCTAATTCTTCTTACCAATACCAATACCAGTGAACAATAATCCCGTAATAGAATTTGTCACCCTAAGAATATTTAAAAATTAGAATGTAAATATTGTGTTCAATTTATCTTATACTTACCACATATACCAATAAGACTGAAGACATACACGCAGTTGAACAGCTGAAAGTCCCATTTCTTTTTTACCTTATAAAACGTCTTTTGTTTGATGAAAATGTACACACACACACAAAAAATCGTATGTCTTCTTTTTAAATGAAGTGAAAAATATTTGTTTTTTGTGAGAGATAAAAAGTGTGAGTTAAAAAAGAAAGCGAAAAAAAGTCTTATAACAATGTACAAAGTATGAATTTTTACTTAAGCATTTTGTTTCACCACATCATTAGAAAAGAAAAGCATTACGTCAGTTTAGTTTAATGCCATTAGCATGTTTTGTTGTTTTGCAGGCGTTGCCGTATTTCTCTTTGTGATCAAATTCAAAAAAACAAGCAATTATAATGTTGGATGTTTGATCTATGAAGAAAAAAACAGAATTGTTTCTTTTAGGTTTTTCTTGTTGTCTTATTAAACCTTTAATGAATGAATTAAATTGGCAAAAATTGAAAAAAATCTAGTTGATGTTGTTATTTCTTTTGTAAAATAAGAAACAGTTTTATGAAATTGATCATTTGTTATTTCATAATATTGAATTATTTCATGTAATTTGTGTTGACAATCATGAAGAAATTTCTGTAATAATTTAATTATTTTATTTCTTTTTATATTCAGAAGGTTTTAACACATTCAACCCGATTCATTTTTATTACAGAATAGCTCTAACAGATTCATTTTTGTATGCATTCGTTATCCTTTTCATTCTGTGTTAGCTCGTTGTTTTCTCTTTTCTGATTGGTATATCATATGAACCGTTATATCTATGCATCACATACTGGTTTTTGCCAACATGACGTATTTGGCTTTCCCCAGTATGCTATCACATGTTCTGTATTAGACTTTTTCTAATAATATACTCGTTTACGTCATACTTGGTACTCTCCAACATGCTTATATATGTATGTGTCGGTGCTTCTCTTCCTACCGTTATTCACTATTACAGTCACTAGTTCTTTTGCTAATTCTATTCTTCTCTTTCCTTTTTTTCTTTTGTAAAACCCCCCTTTATGATGTTGAGATACATATATCTCGATTGTTTTGACGAGAAGCATCATGCTATGAAATAAAGGACTCAAAAAATATCGAAGATAGAGCATATGACACATTATGTGTAACCTTCTGCCCAAGTAAAAAGGCAAAAGGAAGCAGTTTTCTATATAGTTTCTTCTTAAAATATAGTATGATCCACCGGTGGATCACATCGGACTGAATGTATTACTAATTTTTACTTGAATTTGGATGTTTTCTTCGAATTTATTTATCCACAATTCAATTTGCTAAAATACAAATGAAAAAAAAAATAATAATAATAAATTCTTTTCTTTTTTTTTTAATTTTCTACTTCAAATTCTTGTTTCATTTGTTCGATTTCAGATTTAATTAAAGTTAAGTCAACTAAAAAAATAAAATGAAATTTAAAAAACAAAAATTTATGAATTAAAATAATTCAACTTTTGCTTGCAGATAAAATTGATTTATAATTTTCTTTAATATCAAATATTTCTGAATGACGATCATTACATATTTCTGAAACAATATTCATAATTGGTATATGTGTTTTTGATGTTTTTAAATCATATATCTAACAATGAAAAAAATAATATTTAATAAAACGAAAGATAAAATAGAAAATTCTTTTCAAACTTTTGATAAATCATCAAGTGTAAGAACTTGATGTATTACTGTTGGATTTAAATGATTAACTATAGAAAGTATGATCTAAATTGAAATATTTTGTACTAATAAAATGAAAAATGAACAAAGAATATATATAAGAACTGACTTCAAGTAATTTTTTAATATGATTTGATTGATATAAAAAACTACAAGCTTCATTAATGATATGCATTTGATCATTTAATAAATGATAATTATCAGCAAAGATTAATTTAAATTTTATTGTATTTAATCGTTCCATATAAAATGGTATTTGAATAATCTATAATTTAATATTTTATATCTTAGAATTCGTTACGTATTTTCACTAACCTCATACATAAGTCGATCTGCTGGAGATAATTGTTCTTTATCAATAGACAAATGACGAAAAGCATCGATCTATTTTTAATAATAAAAAATTTTAGATAGTTAAGTTCAAGTTTTTTGATAAAATATAGAAACGAGTTTAATAGATAAATTTTGAAGTTTGAATATAAATAGTGAAACTATCAAGATTGAAGTTGCTTTATCTTCTTCTACGTCTCTAAATCTACTTGTATGAATACATATTATGATTTACTTTATTCTCTACACAATCAACTGATTGTTTAATTCATATAGAGAATATATTCGTTTATTATAAGTTTCAATCTGTATGATAATTCTTATCAAATAAGCTTTTTGTTTATGATTTGTAGAGTACTTTAGTAGCAAAGTATGGTTTTATTGAATTTTCAACTTAAAAGACTATTACGCACTTAAGTTTTCTTTTTATCCTCCAGTCAGACAAAAATAGAACAAGCCGATGTTTTTATGCATAAGAAAGAACTTGTTTTTTTTTTCTATGAGAAAAAAAAAATAAGTTAGTCAAATTCAATATCTTCGAGCTTGGTTTTTTGTTTTCGAGAAAAAAAACGATTGGTTTAGGGCGCTTAAAAGCATATTCTTTTTTTATATATAGCAGCCTTTTTATTCGTTTCTTGCCTGGTTAAGAAGTAACATAGAGAGTTAATGACGGGGTATGACGACGAACCTGTCTTTTTCGTGCTAAAAATAACAAAAACGATAAAAATAAAAGCAAGTTAAATGTTGTAATAGAATGAAAAAGAAATCAGTATAGAATCTGTTTTAATATCATCTTAATGTCAGTATAAAATGTGTCATTCAACATGAAACTGAACTTTTTAAAAAAAGTTTTCTGATTAATTTTAATTTTCTTGAATATAATAGCCAATTCAGTGATATATCTATTTTTCTTTAATAATTTTACCTCGGTATCATTAGGTATATATTGAATTAAATGTTGAATGAGTTCAACTGAAATCAATTCCAAATTAAAGGTTTTTATTGCTTCAGCTATTTCAATAGGACTACGTTTATTAAATGCCAATATAATACCTAGAAACAAAAGAAAATTTCATCATGGAATAAATTAATAATTATGTTTTTCGACTTAATTTTCTCTTTCAAAGTTTTTCGAGACAATCATTCATCTTAGACTTCTTTTGCTTTTTTGTCAAGATTGAACAAAATCTGTGCATCTTATCAATATTTAATCTCTACATGCATGTACGTAAAATATGTACACTACTGAGTCCATTGTATATACAGAAAAAAAAAGGCACTGACATTGATGCGGACCTGACGTAATAAAAAAGAGAAAAAAACACAGTCAAATATATGCATTTGATTAAATCGGAAGATAAATATTCGGCTAAGGAAAAATAGCAATTAATGTTTATTAATAAGTTGCCATCCGTGTATCCTCGAAGTCTGATATCGAACCAAATTGAAATGTAAAACGTCCTGGAGTTGGATGTATTATTCCACTGCTGTAATAATAACGAATAGCACGCGCTAATTTCTCATAAGTCATAACTAAAATTAAAAAAAAAAATGAAGAAATTTCCAATTAATCATAAATAAAACAAAAATAAATCTACCTGAATCGGAATTTCGACCTTTGACGCGTTGCCATAGTTCAGCAGCAGTATTTTTTTGATAAAATCTGAAAATGCCTTTGCTTCTATCAATATATGCAGCAATATGAGAGTAATTTTTATTGTTCAGTAATTGTCGAAGAAATTCATGCAATAATGGTCTACGTGATCTGCCACTGGTCTCATCCGTGACAAACCATTCACGTACATCTATATGTGGTAAATTTGATAGTATTCGATTTTGCTTTTTTTTTCGAGGTTTTTTCATGGGTGGTGATGCTGGTGATAGATCAAAATCAAATGTAGGTTGTATTTGAATATTAGACATGAAATCTGCTATTTCAACAGATCCGAAATTAAAAATTGAATCAGAATTTATAGGATCATAAAATATTTCTTTGTCCGAATTTTGATCACAATCAAGCATTGTAATTGCATATCCATCATCTTTGGCTGGATCGAATTTGGTTGATTCCATTGAACGACCGACCGGTAAAAATGACGTCAACTGTGACGAATCATTACAAAAACTCATCACAGGATCGTTTGGTCCATTTTGCAATGATTGTGCATGCTGGTATATCCAAGCCACGAGATCATCGGTATTTTCAAAATGCTTTCCTGTATAAGAGCCCGGTTGCCCTAGATATTGATCAAGTTCGCTAGGTGAAGTAGGGCACGATAATAATGGATCCATATTAGAAAACAATATGAAGTTTTTAAATATTTAACTAAGAATGAAAGCAAGGATTGTGTAATATATAGGATTTTTTTTTTCGCATTCTGTGATTCTTTTTCTTTTTTTTTCTTTCCACGATAAAAAAAAATAAAGCATTTGAAGTGTCAGCATCATAGCATTTTTCTTTTTTTCCAATCGACGAAAAATATAATGCATAAAAAATTGGTTATTTTTCGCGCTTGATTTGTTCATGACAAACAACATGAAACATATGAGCCTATGACACATTTATGTGTTTTTGAATGTTTTTTCCTTATCAAAACTACATATCGATAAAGTTTTTTATTTTTTCAAAAAGATTATGGTCGTTGCATTAGCTTTCGGCGAAATGAAATGTTTCGGGCCTGCCCCTTCTTGACGACAAAGGTTGTTTTTTTTACTCTCCGACCATTAAATACCACTATTTACGTATCTTTTAAGTTTCTTTTTTTTCTTTTTACTTTTGATTTCATGAGTCATTGGCAAAAGGTGAAAGAGATTTCGAAAGAGAAGCTTAGTATTATGTGAAAATCATATTTTTGCTTGAAATCAAGCTTTTGTATGCCATTGACGAAGTATAAAGTACGTTAATGTTTGTCTCAAAAACATTTTCTTTTCTATTGAATGCTGCTTGTCGTTTTCTCGATAGAAAAAGAAATACATGATGAGTCATTTTTTCATTAAAATATACGTCATTGATTATTGTCGAAATAAGAAAGAATATTATTAATTAAGTTGGAAGAAAGAATATTATTAATTAAGTTGGAAGAAAAAATATACACACCAAGGTTATATGATTTACGATTGTCGAGAATCGTTTTGATTTTTGATTCATTCATTTTATTTGAATTTTCTTAAGAAAAAGAAAAAAAAGATTTTCTTTTAAAAAAAATTTTCTCTCATAATAATTTACTTTCATTTATTAGTTTATTCAATTGATTAACATAACCCGCGACATCGTAATTTTCTACCTATAAATAAATTGATCGTATCTATGAATAAAACGCATAAAAAACATGTCATGACTCTTTTCTGAAATTTGTTTCAATGACTCAAAATCAATAACAGTTTTTTTTTTTGCAAAAAAACAAAGATGATATCTATATCTTGAGTAAATATTTGAAGTGATTACCTAAAAACGAGGTTGACACAAAAAAATAAGTCTTACTTTTGACCATAAAGTCTCTTGATTGGGTGAGATAAGTGCTGTTTTCAATGACTTTGATTGTGATTTAATTGCTAAATCGAATGAATTTGGTAATGGTGGTGCTTTAGGGATAAGAACTTTTGTGTCGGTTTTAACTTCAATCAATGATGGTGATTGAGTACTGGATTCAGATTTAATAATTGGTATTGATATTTTAGAATTTTCATTTTTTGTAATTTCTATTGATGGATGTCTTGTGGTAGTTTTTGATGAAAATGAAGTAGGATTGTATGATAAAGAAAGTTGATCAATATCGGTGACACGATTTGATTCTTTTCTTTGATATTTTTTTTCAAATTTATGAACTTTATTTGTTGCTGAACGAAATAAATGATTCATAATTGATTTATCATTTGATAAACGAATAATAGAATCTGAGGCACAATCGAGAAAATAAAGTTGAAATTGAACATCTGATTCATCCGATGATGGTAACATAATAATCTAAAAATTTTCATTAATTCTCGTAAAAGATAATTAACATGAATTTCTTGTTCAAAATTCAAAAGCTTCGATTACTGAAAAAAAAAACTTAAGTTATGTATCGAAATTTATTTTTATTGTAACGAAAACTTGTCGAGTTGGAGTAGGTACAGGCTCTAGACCAAATCAACGAGTCATACTCTTAAAGTAACAATTTATTATGACTTGATTATTATAATATCATCGTCAAGATTGTCTAAGAGATGTATAGGATGTATCACGTACAGAATACAAATAGTTGTTAAAAAGTATCGTGCATCATCTTCGGAACGACTTGAAGTTTCACGAAGGAACGTTTCTATGTGTCAAATCACTTTTGAGTCGGAACTATGTGCATTATATAGATTCTGACGAGCTATGAATAACCTCAAAAGAGTTCGAGCTAATAGCTTACTGCTGTCGAGATAATGTATTTTTTATCAGAATGTCGTGGTCCCTCTCAGGAATACCAGAAAACCTGAGTTTCGAATTTCGACTTGAAATTTTGGGTAGAGACAGGCCTTAATGACAATAGTTTATTGTAAAAGTTTCAGATTTTCACCCGTGTCTACTCTGATATAAGAACATTGGAATTTGCCCGTTGTATATGAACGGTGTGGGAAAACATACTTTTATCATAGCTGTGTTTTAGGATAGAAGCAATCAAAAGATCTGAAACTTTTACAATAAAATATTCTTATTAAGGTCTGTCTCTATGCAAAATTTCAAGTCGAAATTTGAAACTTAGTTTTACTGGTGTTTATGAGAAGACTCTGGCATTCTGCTAAAAATACAGTATCTCGGCAATAATAAGCTACCAGCCCGAACTCTTTTCAGACTATTCATAGTTCATTAGAACTTATATGAAGTACACAGTCTCGACACAAGAGCGATTTGACACTTAGAAAAACGTTCCTTAGTGAGACTAAAACATTTCGTCAAAATTAGCGATACGTTTCGGATCCAGGTGCAGGCATGAAACACGTTCAATAAATCATATTCAAACATTTTGAAGCCTATTTAAGATATGCAATATCATAATGCAATGTTTATAACAAACTTGTAGAAATGGTGTGTAAAACTTTAATTAATACTAAATCATAAGTCATGCAAAGCCTTTCTACTGGATAGTGCAAAAGTTCCACATTAATTTTATTTTCATTTTAGCATGACAGCAACTCGTCGTGAAGATTCGATAGTTTTCTTGTTAGAAAGAGCTGAGTCTCTACCAGAAAGCTGTATAAAAATATTTCGTTTGAAAAACTGATCGACGACTGAAAAGTTTTAAGAACATGTTTGACTGGAAAAGTGCCTTTGATCGATTTGTCTTGCATTCTACTTTCAAAATTTTAGGCATATTATATATAAGTATAACTAGGGATGTACTGAGACCGAGAGGCTCAGCCTCGGTATATGCCTAAGTGTAACTTACACGACATGGGCTTTCTAGTGATATCAAAATATTCAAGTTACAAAACCAGAGGTTTCACAAGAAGCAGTTTTATTAAAAATTTGATTTTCTTTCCACAACGTTCAATGAAGTTTTTCTCATACTGTCTAATATTCTGTTTTATATGTGTTTTTCAAGAGAGCTGAATAAACTTTAATTGAACATAAAATATAGGGTTTGACTAACTTCAATCTTATTTTTCGAAATTATTTATTAGTAGTGAACGTTTTTCGCTAGCAAAAACCGTTAGAAAAATGTTGATTTCGAACTCAACTGATAGCTTGAAAATTTCATTTTTATCCGTTCATAATATCTTATCGTAGTGCTACAAAATTTGATAACAGACAGAAAATAAGAGCAACTTTCTTCGTTGACGGAGCTTTTCTTCTAAATTCCAGATATGTGCAGAGAACTCTTCAACCTTTGGTAATTATTTTGAACGAAATATTTTTATCCAGCTTTGTAGTAGAGGTTTTGCTCTTTCTAACAAGAAAACTATCGAATCTCCACAACGAGTTGTTGTCACACTATAATCAATCAATATTCAAATAGAATATGATATGTTGGTTTTTATACGACAAAAATATTCAATTTTCATTTATCTGTATACAATTGAAGATTTTCATACTAATACTTAACAATAACAGTAAACAAAAGATTGATCTGATACTTACAGACGAACTATACAAACCTTCTTCATAATCTGCTAAATGTTAGTCAATAACTACATCACAATGAAAGATATATAAAAATAACATAATCACTCAATTTTAATAGTTATTATTCATGACAAATATTCGAAAGTTCAAATTTCGTTTAATATTCTATATAGAAGCAATACGATAATAAATATTGTCTTCTATTTCTATATCTATCATGGATGATTAATATTTCCTTAATGTATGTAATTTACTTATCAATAATAAATAGTATTTTATATTTCGATAAAGGTCTAATAATTCGTTTGATAAGAAAATATCTTCGACCTTTATACTTTTCAAAAAGACATTCAACATATTTTTTTTTTTTTTTGTTTTCATTTTACAATCTCACATGATGGCAAAATTTACTATTTTAATAAATATAATCATATCATTATTAATATTCTTAATTCATTTATCTTCTGTAATGAGTATTAATGATAAATGTGATGATAAAATATTTATTTTAATTTCAAAAAAAAATATTTTTCTATTCAATTTTGATTCTCAACATGATTATTCACCAAGTATTATATATGAAACAAAATTAAATACAACTATTGAAAATGGTTCATTTAATAAACGAATAAATACAATTATTTTATTAATTAATCAATTAAATGAAACATATTCTATAGTTACATTAAATGTTTATGATACTATATATAATTATTGGTTAGAAAAATCAAATAATATTAAATATTCATCATATATTTATATATCACTTGGTCAACGTTATTTATATGTATTAAATAATCAAACAATGTTATTACAAATATTTACATTACCATTAACATTAACATCATATAAAGAAAATTATTTAATAAATTTACCAAAAACTCAAACAATATTAAATTATGTTATTGATGAAATATTTGATTTTTTATGGATTTTATTTGAAAATATTCAACCTCAATTATATATATGTCAATTAAAAACTTTTAATTGTTATTTATATATGAATTTAATTAATTTAAATCAACCATTACAATTATATATTAATTGGAAATATCAAAAATTATATATTAATTCAAAAAATTCTTTAATTATATTTGATTATAATCAAAATCATACAGATTATACAATACATAATTTAAATTCTACACAAGAAAATCAAATTCAATTTTTAACAATATGTGAAAAAACAAATTTTATTGAATATATAACAATTGATTATACTAATAAACAACAAATATGTTTACAAACATGTCAATATTTACCATTAATATTAAATGATACAAATCGTATTCATACAATACAAAGACTTTCAATATCATCGAATATTTTTTATTGTTCACAACAACGACGAATTGCTAAAATAATTATTTTAATTTTAATTTTAATTGATATTGCAGTTATATTAGCAATTATTATTTGGTTAGCATATAAATATTTTTATCAATCAACATTAAAAGAGAATGAAAGACAAATGAGTAGTGGAACTGTTTGGACAGCTGATAAAGATTCTGTCACACATTTTTAGATTGTAAAAGAAATCATTATTAGATAATTTTACAAGTTGAATAAATTTTAGATAAAAAAAAAAAAAAAAAAAATTAAAGATTGTTTAGAAATAAAACTCAAATAAATTGACTTAGGTTTATTGAAATAGTTAGTTTATTTTTAATGATCGTTTCTTTTTAGTATTTTATTCGATTTTGTATTATTTTTAGAATGAAAATGAAATTTGAATATTTCTACTTAAAATCAATTATTTCAATTGATCATTATTTGATAAAAGTATACTGTAGAAAAAAAAACAGCTGTATGAAAGAATTGAACAAAACTTACGAGAGAAATGTCTTAACTGATTAATTATTTTAGAATCTGGGCTGTGTGTATGATGTAGATTCTAATCAGTTACGAATACCCTGAAAACAGTTCGAACTCTTAACTGATTACTGCTGAGATACTGCATTTTTACGGTATTTTCCAAATGAATGTCGTAGTAGCAGAAAAACTCATTTTTGAAATTTTGACTTGACACTTTATATAGAGAAAGATCTTAATGAGAAAAGTTTCAAGTCTTTTGATGTGCTTCTTTCCTGAAATAAGAACAATAAATCTGCCGATGTATATGTGCAGTATAAAAGACAAACTTTTATCATCGTTATATCTTACGATAGGAAAAATGAAATGATCTCAAATGTTTACAATAAATTGTTTTCATTAAGTTTTGTCTCTATGGAAAGTTTTAAGTCGAAATTTGAAAATGAGCTATTTTAGTGTTCCTGAGGGAAAGCACAGCATTGACGTAAAAAAAAATACCCTAAAAATGTAATACCTCAACAGCAATAAGCTAAAGGTCGGAATTCTCCTTAGGGTATTCATAGTTCCTTAGGATTTATATGACCGACATAGTCACGACTGAAAAACAGTTTATCAATTGTTGAACTTTCCTCTTTTCTATATATATATATATATGTTATCAATAGGATTACTTCCTACTTTACATAATTCATTTTTTTCTCTTTATGTCGAATGGTCAATGTATGTTCTCAAATTATCTAATTTTCCATAGAAAAAATCTAAAATTCCTATGTAAAGAAAACTTTTGATTATAATTTAGAAAATATTTTTATATGATTTCAAGAAGAAATTTATTTTTCGTCTAACTATCGCTGTTCGAAAAGTTTCCATCATTAATGAAAGAATATATTCAATACTACATAGAATAACCTTCAATTACCATGTTTAGTCATTTTGTTCTTCGAATTTGATTTCTAAACAATCGCTTACTATAAATAAAATCTTCTTCAACATTATTTCAAAGTACTTATTGCAATATCTCTATTAAAAAATCGCATATTAATAGTCATTTTACC